GATCTGTTAGTGATAGAAACTGCTTCTGTCATTTCCTGTGATTTGTTGTGGTGCCTCTTCTGTACTCATCTGACCAGTATGTCCAAACAGAACTCTCCTCCTAGTCTGGGTACTCTTGGAGGGTGGATAATTTGGGAGTAATAAACTATACACAGGTCAGACAGGAGCCATGAGGGGAGGGCATCTGCTGGTAGAAACAAGTTTCCTGTGAGAGCAACCCGATCATGGGTCCAACATAGGCCTTAGGTTCACCCATCAAAATAAAGAGGTATCTCATAAAAGACACCAGAAACACCCATGACCACCACCCCTGGAACTCCATTAGGGCAGGCCTAGAACTTAAAGCTATTTTCCTAAGATACACCATAGAACCAAATCAGAGGAAAGTGCAATCACCCTCCACCGCATCCCACTTTCCTGCTTGCCTGTTGGCTCCTTCTCCATCCCTTCCTCTCTGATCTTAGGCTTTGTTCTCACTCAAGATATGCTTTGGTCTTCCTTCATCACTGGGTGATCCCTTTTCATTTCCTCCCCAGGTTAGCCTCTTTGCTTTCACCCTAAATTATGGTTCTTTAAACCATTTTGGATGAGGCATAACCGTTCCACCAGTCCTCACCACAGAACCTTCTCTGTGTCCAGTACTCTCAGCTCTCTGATTCAGTCAGAAGGGCTGGCAGCTGCCCCCATGGAAGTGAAGGGAGACAGGATAGAGTGGGATAAGTGGGATAACTGCTTAGGGAGACAGGATAGAGTGGGATAAGTTCTGAGTGTGGAGCCCTGGTAAATACCAGTACTTAAGGTATAAGAAAAGTAGAATAAATCAGAGTGATTTAGAAATAAGAAGTAGAGAAGCCAAGAATCCTTGGAAGCCATTAGCAGAGAAATGTTTCAAGAAGACGGTGGCTATAATTAACACCAAATGTTATGCACAGCCAAGTAGGTTAGATCTGAAAATCCACCACTGGTTTTAACAAGTAGAGAATTCTGCTCTATGTGGGATCAGTTTCTGTGGAATTAGGAAAGAGTGAAGCCTAGAAACCAAATGGTAATGAGCTGAGGCAAAAGGGATGAGGATGTAGTTTCCCCAGCCCATCCGTGGTTGCTTGTGAGAAAGCCCATCTGAGACCAGAACAACAGCTCAGCTGAACCCAGCCTAAATCACCCTACCCACAGATTCAAGAACTGAATAGATTGTTGTAAGTCACTGGATTTGGGGTGGATATTTTTCTCCATGATCATGAGATGAGATGAGACAAAGTCTGGAAAGAGAAGAACCTGAGAATTTGGAATAGATAGAATGATATATGGGGCACATAAAGTAGTGAGTTCCAAGTAAAATGGAGAAATAGGCATGATAGAATAAATTTACAGGTGAGGGGATGGAAGATGGAGGAGAGAATTCATGGCCTGAAGACTCACACTCGGCACAGAGATGTCAGAAGCTTGAAATGAATGGCAAAGCTCTCATTGATTTCCTCTTAAATAATGCTGTTGGTAAGGGACTCCGTGTCTAGTCACACTTTATTTATCACCATTCTTCCATCTCTGCCCATTTCTGAATTACCTAGCAAGGAATACTGCACATGATTCAATCACTACTTACTGAGTAATTTTGCCTAGCTAGTGGTATGTGATGATAATCCAATTATAATAATCCTGAAAATAAGTAATCAGGGGACTAAATCCATCTTTAGAAAACCAAAAAATTATGGATTCTCTCTTTGTTCAGCATCATGAATAAAAGATTACGTTATATGTCACATGACCATTATTCTAAGTTCAAGAAAGTTTCTTCAAATAAATTTTATGGAGACAAATACTGAAAAAATGAAACTTATTTTCATTTGGAAAAATGTGATGTTATGAACTGAACTGTGCACTACCCATTCACATGTAGAAGCCTTAAGCCCTAGTATCTCAGGATGTGACTATTTGGAG